GTGTCATCCTGTACGAGCCTTAGATATCGAAGCTGTACCCGGAAAAACATCAATACAGAACTCAACATCTCTATCCGGAGGTAATCCAACCAACTCTTCAGGAAATACATCTGGAAAATCTCGTACAACTGGGATATTAGAAATAGAATCCGAATCTACATTCATATCCCGTACTGATGCCAAAAACACCGAACAGCCCTTCTTCCACATTCTCCTGACTTCCAACACAGAAATTAAACAGGATAAAACTCTTTTTAACTTGAAATACACATCTTTCACCATCCATAAGCAAGCTCACTTGTCTCTTCAAACAGTTAATCTGAGCCTCATACAGACTCAGTTAATCCATACCCAAAATTACGTCATACGAAGAAATCAGCAACAAAATCAAACACGACTTCCACTTCTTGCCAGCAATATCAATTTCACAGAAACAAAACTTTCAGGCAATCAAATTATTCCCAGCCGGCAAAAGAACGGAAAGAGAAACCGGTAGCGTAACAGAATCCAGATGCAAAGCATCAAAATAGCGCTTGGAAATAAACGAGTGACTGGCTCCAGAATCAAACAAAACACGATAGGGATGATCAAAAATGTAAACCATACCTGTCACCACATCCAGAGCATCTCGAGCCTCTTGCTGATTCAAACTATACACACGTGGCTGAGCTGGAGCTGGAGCTGCAGAACTACCAGACTCCCTCTGATTACCACTAGGTGGTCTCCTCGCCACAGAACCCAAACCACCAGCTCTACCAGATGAGCCTTAAAAAACAGTACGTGGAGGAACTGTCCTCGGTCTTCCTGCTGATCTAGCAAAGCTCTCTGATCTTGACTCAGATTGTCGGTCAAATCCAGCTTATGGACACTCTGTAATCCGATGTCCTGGTTGATCACATCTGAAACACTGACCAATCATCCTATAGCACTGGCCAAAATGTCGTCGTCTGCAAGTTTGATACACAGGTTCCCCACTGACTGACCCAGAACTGGTCACACTGCCACTACCAGAAACTGTAGTGGATCCCGACTGTCCACTCTTCTTGGAGTCTCCAAAAACAAATCTCTTCTTTCTAGAAAAACTACTGCCAGAAGCATCACCACTGAATATCTTCCTACTAGCAGTCCACCGCTGCTGAGTAGCCATCAGATCGTTCTCTATCAGATGAGCTCTCTCAATAAGCTCAGAGAAATCAGAAATATGAAATGGTACCAGGGGCTGCCTCAGACTATCTCGTAGTCCCCTCAAAAATCTATAGCACTTCTCAGCAGAAATACTGGCCAATTGTGGAGCATATCTGGCTATAGCAGTAAACTCTGCCTCGTACTGCATCACTGTCCTGCTCCCCTGAATCAACCTCAGAAAAGTCTCCTGTATTTGCTGTCTTGCAAAAGGGGTACAAACTACGATCGAAATACTTCAGAAAATTCTTCCCAAGTAATCAAAGAGTTCAGTTTACCTTGGAATTTCTCCTCCTGCTAGCCCGTCCACCAGCGCTCTGCTTCCCCATCCAACAGAAAAACTGCTAATGGTACCTTCCTATCCGGAGGACATTGCATACTGTCAAATGTCTTTTCCAATCTTCTCAACTATTCCTCAGCTGCTCTGGGCTCAACAGTGCCCTCAAACCTCGGAGGCTTCAATCTCAGAAACATTTATAGATGTCTATCTACATCTTCAGATCTAACAGTAGATGCTCTATTCTGAGTCTCGCTCATCATCTGAGCAACCAACATAGCAAACTGTGAAACTATATCAGAACCAACCACTGGGGCAGTACTGTTCACAGGAGCTGCCTGACTAGCACTCTGCCTATCAGTCATATATGGATCTGGTAGATCCATAATCATACAGAATGCAACTATGCACATGCATATAAAACAAAAATAATGAAAATCCAAACAAACAGAAACTACCCCGACAGACTTACAGATCAATTCCTATAGCTCTGTCTTACAATCCAAATTCCAAAACAATTGCTCTGATACCACTCGAATTTGTCACGACCCAACCCGACCGGAACGAATCCCTTCGCGTCGGGCCGCTACAAATAAAAAATACAGTATCTAGTTTTGGAATTTGCTTCAGATTTTCTTCCAAATTTCAGACATACAGAACATAAAATACAAAGCTACTATAACTTCCAAATATACATAACAGTTTATCTATCATTTTCTTCTTTCATCAAAATAATCCTGTACAATACAGTGCATGGCTACCAACAGAAAGAACAGAACAGAAAAGTCATGACTGTACAAAAATTAAAAGTATAAAATACCTAATCACTGATCAGACACAGAACTACTAGTCCAAGATCTCCTTCCCTTTACAAGAACCTGAAAACCACGCAGATAATAAGGATGAGCTAACAGCTCAGCAAAACTACACTTACCAATCAAAATCTCCAGAAACACACATCAGAAAATACCTCAGAAGCAGTTATTCCAATAACTGTATAGAATTCAAATAATCTTACAGAAATCGTATAGTCAACTGAATACAGATACTTGATCAAACCGAAATCACCCCACTGATACAGTAAAAAGGAATCCTATTCATATAACAGAATATTCAAGTCATATTTCACAAAACAACAAAATCGTACAAAACAATCAGAAATCATACAGAACAGATTTTCAAATCAGATAAAATCACCTTTCAATATCAGATCACATATCACATAACCCCTGACCCTAACAGAATCTCGACGAATTATGTCCCCTTATGCCTCCCTTCCCTGACACTGACAGAATCTCAGCGGATTCTGGCCCCTTATGTCTCAATTTGTGCTTATAACACCAGAACAAAACAGATATACAGAATTTTCAGAACATAACTTGTTTTCAGATTTCCCTGACCCAGACAACGGAATCACAAAGGATTCCGGCCCCTTATAACTCCCTTCTGATATCACAGCACAACAAAACATTCAAATCAGAAAATCGGATTACGTCAAAAAAATCGTCGACGACATAACGGCAGTATATGGAATTTATACAGAATTCACAGATTCAGAAATTTACCAAATTACCACAGATAATACAAAACAGCATTGGAAGACTTTCATTGTACTGAAGCAACATTTTTCAACATCATGATAATTCATATTCAATTAAAACACCGCAGAATTTAAAATAACCGGTGAAAATCTTCCAGAAAATACTCAAAACGTGCACAAATATCATCTCATAAACATATCAAAAGTTACGCGGTAAAAAGTTCATCAGTGCGAAACGAAACCAAATATTCGCTAACGGAAATAAAATCCGAGACAGAAAAGTCGTCAAAATTCTTGTTTCTAAAAATTGAGAAAGGCGGAATGTGCCTTATCTCGAGTCGGTCAACTTTTCCAACTACAGCGACGGACGAAAAAGGACCGAAGTCGCCCAAAAATTACTTTTTCTTCTTTTTCCTTCGATTTTCTCTCCTGGGCTTTCTCTCTCTTCAAAAAGATCTCAAACCATTATATATGCATGCAGATCGTCCCTGACGAAGTGTAATCGTCCCGGGACGATTTGCCCTCTGGACGAATTTTGTCCAGACGAAATAGTTATCGTTCCTAGAGGAGTTGCCCTTTGGAGAAATTTCGTACGGACGAACCCTACTTCGTCCTCGGACGAATCTCCCAGCCAGCCATTCATGTACTGATTGTCCCAGGACGATCCAACTTCGTTCTGGACGATCCTGGAAGGAAAACATGGAAAAATGGCTCTCACAAGGAAGAACTCTGGCAATGGTCGACGTATGGGTGGAAGTCCGGCGGTGGTCAACGAATAGGTAGAACTCCAACGGTGGTAGAAAAGCATGAGGAAGTTCGACGGTGGTCGGGAAGAACTCCGGCGGTAGTCGACGAATGAGTTCTATGGTGGTCGACGAACATGTGGAAATTCGGTGGTGGTCAACGAATAGGTGAAAGTCTGACGGTGGTTGGCAAGAACTCCATGGTGGTTGGCGAATGGGTGGAAGTCTGACTGTGTTCGGGAAGAACTTCGACGAGCGGAAGTCCGTTGGTGGTCGAGAAGAATTCCAATGGTGGTCGTCGGCAAGTATGGGCGGAAGTGGCGTGACTTGTAAATATGGGAGGATCAAGGTCAAGTTGGGAGTGTTAGAATGGATGGCTGATATTAACTCCTTCGATCATAGACCATTGACCGAGCATTTAAGTGTCTTAATGTTATCAGAATTTGATGATCTTGGGCTTGTTGGATTCATCTTGTCGAGCCGCTCGATTCAACTATAAGCATTTCATATTCGACGGTTATTTATTTATCCAATTAATATTTTGAAGCCTCCAAATATGTCTTGGACCATTGATTTGGTTTCATTTGGGCTCGGATTGGATTGTGTTACGGCGGTTCCTCCTGAACTGCCTCTTGAGGCGGTTCCCCCTGAACCGCCTCAGCCCAGGAAGGAAGGGCCGGCCATGGTATATCAAAGGAGGCAATTTCGCCTCCTTTCTTGCCCAAATTGAATTACCGCCTAAGGGTGGGGTCCACGGGATTTGAATTTATTTGAAATTATTTTTAGGAAAGATTTGAGGTGGAAAAAGTCTTTAAATAGGAGAGGTAAGAGGAAGAGAGAGGCATGCAAGTATTGTTTTCTTCTTGGAGTTTCTTGGGTGTTTTGGGCTCTAGACTCTCTTGTCTAGAGATTTGGGAGAGACGATCCTCCTCTCGAATTGAGGATCACTTGTATCTTGATTTCGTATTGCTTTTGCTTTGTTTCCCTTATTGCAATTTAGTGATTTGGGGCTGATTTCGCCCAGATTTTGGTTGAATTCTCGCTGTTTTGTCTCCAATTAGTGATAGGTTTGCTTGCGAACTCAAGTATTCCCTTGGGGTTACTTGCGAACTCAAGTATTTCCTATCAGATTGATTTTGGTGTTAATGGGTCAACTCTTCGAGATGTTCAATTTGACTATATATATATATATATATATATATAAGATTGAAGGTAGTGCTTCTAGTTTCCTCTTCATATTTTTCCTGATTTGATGCAGACGCTTGGGATACCACATTACTTGGCTTCCGTTACGTGGCTTTGTGGACCCATTTCAGGGCTGCTTGTAAGTATTTTAAAGCTATGTTTTTCCAGTTTATATTTCTGTCTTGAAGGGATTAATGGCAACATCTAATCCTTTTTGCATATGCTTAGGTTGCACCTACTGTTGGTTTATTGAGTGATAGATGCAGATCAAGATTTGGCAGAAGGAGGCCATTTATTCTTGCTGGATGTATTACTATCTGTGTTGCTGTGAGTACTTGTTTATCCCCTTATGATTTAATTCTTCTACCTACCAAACGCAACATAAGAATTTGATGTTCGTCTTGTAGGTGATTTTGATTGGGTTTTCATCAGACATAGGATCTGCATTGGGTGATACAATGGAGAATTGCAGGTTATATCATTTATTATACTTTTACAAATCCCATCCATGATTCTATGATTTGGGTTCCAAGTCCTCATGAGTTTGAAAGTTCATACAGCACATATATTGGTCCTCGATGGAAAGCTGCTATTATCTATGTGGTGGGTTTTTGGGTTCTCGATTTTGCTAACAATGTCGTACAGGTTCGTATGATTTTCAGGAAATCTTCTTCTCAATAATCTGTAAATTTGGAATTATAAAACGTTTTAATCATGAAGCATGTGAAATTGCAATTATTATCATCATCATTAGTCTTATCCCCGTTCTTTGGGGATAGCTTATGTGGAATTAAAGTCTCGATCCTAACTGTTTACAACTGATTACAGAGTCCAACACGTGCAATGATGGCTGATCTCTCTGGTAAGTTCAAATTCTACTGCCATTATATGGCTTCATTTGAGACGATTTTTTAATTGCTTTCTAAAACAGTTTTTTAGTACAAAAATTTTTTAAACTAAAATATTTTGAACTAGAAAGCTACTTCAAAAGCAGTAAGAAAGCGGACACAAAGGAAGCCTATGTTAGACATGTTCCATTGTTTCGGTGATGAAGTATGCTTTATAAGTGCTTTGCTGGCGTAACATCATTGAAGTAACTGATAAAATTGCCATTTTTGTGCTAGGAAAACATGGATGTAATGCAGGAAATATAATCTATGCCTTTTGGATGGCCTTTGGAAATGTCCTAGGCTATTTATCTGGGGCTGTTGGAGGCTGGTATAAGTAAGTTGGACATGATGCTTGCATAAAAATTATATCAATAATAGTAAATCCACAGTTTGCAAGCTTTCAAATAAGGCTCTTAATTAACGGAGTTTTCACAGATGGTTTCCTTTCCTAATGACAAATTCTTGTTGTGAAGCCTGTGCTAATTTAAAGGGTGCCTTCTTGGTTGCAGTTGTAAGTTCCTTTTTTTTTGCTGCTCATTACAACATAAGCTTATGCAAGTACTAATTGCAACTATAATTTCTGTATGCAGGTTTTCCTGTCTCTTTGCTTAACGGTGAGTCTAACATGTGCAAAAGAAGTTTCTCTCTCTGAATTGGACCCGGCATCTGTGTGGCAGGAAAATTATGGATTACTTTCTTTGTTAAAAGCCTTTAAAAGCTTGCCAGTTGGAATGTTGTCTGTGCTTCTTGTGACATCTATTACTTGGGTATGTTTTTATACTATTTTTACTAGTTTTCTCAGATCTTTTACTGACATGAATCACCGCAAATGTAGATGGCCTGGTTTCCCTTCCTTCTTTATGACACAGACTGGATGGGACGAGAAATCTACCGTGGTGATCCCAATGGAACAAAGGCTGAAATTGATGCTTACAACAACGGTGTCCAACATGGTGGATTTGGCTTGCTCCTGAATTCGGTAATAGAGCTAGCATTGTTGAACCTTCTACTAAATTTTCATTCATTCTTCATCTGACATCTTATAGTTGAGACAGAACAATCTCACCTGACACATTTGTTTCCAAATTTTAGATTGTTCTTGGGGTCAGCTCAATTTTTCTTGAGCCTATTTGCCGGAAATTCACTTCAAGGATTGTTTGGGTCCTTGGCAACTTCACCGTTTTCATTGCCTTGGTCGCAATTACAATTCTAAGTCTGATTTCTAAGAATCTACATGCTGAAAGCATGAGTACTGTATTTGGAGAACTTGGAGTAAAAATTGGAGCTTTGGTTATCTTCGCAGCTCTTGGGTTTCCTCTAGCTGTTCGTATTATTCTTTCAAGCTTTCAATTCTACTAAACCTTCCACATCAGTTATACAAATGTCATATTTTCTGGTTGCAGATTCTGTTTAGCATTCCCTTCGCCAGTGCGGCGCAGCTTGCTGTGAACGAGGGAGGCACCAAACAGGGTACGACATTTATATACATTATACTTGCACTGTATTACTTCTTAAAGAACATATTCGTTAGGCTTCTAATGCCTGAATGCTGATAAAACCTATAAATTGAGCTTGGAATTTATCTATTTGATGATCTTTGCAGGACTGTGCATTGGTATTTTGAACATCTCCATTGTCATTCCCCAGGTATGTTGCAAGACTACAATCTGAGCTCACGTAATGCACCTAAAATGGCTTATTGTCGTTCTCGAATCATGTAGAATTGTTATGCTCATAAAAAGTTAATTACTGTAGAACACATTTTTTCTCACTAGACATTTGCATGAGGATGTACCTTGGTATATACTTTTTGCTAATGATATTCTTCTCGTTGATAAGACAAGAGAGGGAGTTGAAGGTAAACTTGAATTATAGAGGTCAACCTTAGAGTCTAAAGGTTTTCGCTTGAGTAGATCTAAAACTGAATATATGGAGTGTAATTTTAGTAGCAATAGACCTAGTGAGGAGATTGTGACTTTGGGCGATCAAGTTATTAATAAGAGTCCATGTTTTAGATATCTGAATCTATCGTTCAAAGTGATGGTGAAATAGATGATGATGTTATCAGCAGAATTCAAGTTGGATGGTGTAAGTGGAGGAATGCATCGGGCTTGTTGTGCGATAGAAAAGTCCCCCTCAAACTTAAGAAAAAATTCTATAAGATGGTGGTGAGACCTGCAATGCTTTATGGTTCCGAATGTTGGCCATTAAGAGAGAAGCATAATACTAAGTTAAGTGTTGCAGAGATGGAACAATTATTAGGTCCTCCGACCGGACGTAGAGGAATGTCCGGTCGGCACTAAATCCCGCCAAAAAACTCGGTATTTGCTCGATATTGCTAGGTATTATTTGATAATAACGAGGAATACCGCTCTTTGAAGACCAATACCGAGCTATACCGAGCAATACCGTTATTGCTCGGTATAGCTCGGTATAACTCGGTATTGGGTCTTCACATGATGGTATTCCTCGTTATTGTTTGGTATTGCTCGGTATTTCTCGTTTTTTGGCGCGATTTTAGCTCCGACCGGACGTAGCTCTACGTCCGGTCGGAGGACCTAATAATTGTTCGCAGAGATGAGGATGCTGAGGTGGATGATTGGCTTTACCCTTAGAGATAGGATAAGAAATGAGCATATACGTGAAAAGGTTGGAGTAGCTTCAATGAAAGATAAGATTAGAGAGAGTCGCCTTAGATGTTTTGGTCACATTAAACGGAGGCCTTCCGATGACCCGGCAGGAAAGTTTAGGTATTAAATTTGACTTATGTTAAGAAACGTAGAGGTAGACCTAAAAAGACTTGGTTAAAAAATATTAGAAATGATCTTTCTTTATTAAATTTAAATGAGAATTTGACTTTTAACATGACACAATGGCGAAAAAGGATTCATGTAGCCGACCTCACGTAGTGGGACCAAAGGCTTGATTTTGTATTTTTCTCAGTACTGTTATGATCCAACTGACTACTTCCCAAATTGAAATTTGATATGCAGGTGATCGTTGCACTTGGTGCTGGTCCATGGGATGCTATCTTTGGCACTGGTAACATTCCAGCGTTTGTTCTGGCTTCAGCTTTTGCTCTAACAGGAGGCTTTATTGCCCTTGCTGTTCTACCGAAGCCCCCCACATCATCCTTGAACTACGGATATGGGCCTGTGCAAGATCGTTAAAGAAAAAAAACATATAGGAAAAATAACAGCTGTAATCAAAGAGCATAAATTCCTATATGATTTGATGAGAATATTACATAATATATATAGCCAAAAACAAGAATGAACTAGCAGACCATCGAACATCCTGGAGGTGAATCTAATATGAATAAAGTTGGAGAGCAAGAACATAACATTCAAACTAACATATTATAGCTTTTATTATGAAATCAATCTCTTTTAATACAGTAATTCTTTAATTCCCTCTCTCTAGTTTGAGAGTAAGGCTTCGTTGGGATAGTGTTTGTACTGCTTTCTAAAATAACTTCTTAGTACAAAAATTTTTGAATTAAAAAATTTTGTACTAAATGTTGTTTTAAAAAACAGTTAGAAAGCTGTCACAAACTAAGTCTAAGGTTTCATTTGCAACAACTTTATTATTGCTTTTTAAAGTGATTTTTTAGTATAATAAATTTTTTAACTAAAATTTTTTGTACTAAAAAATTGTCTTAAAAATCAGTAAGAAAGTTGTCCAAATATCATGAAGTCCCAATTTGTTGTGTAGTGTCATAAATTGTTATGTCTAGGGTATATAAGGAAAAATCATATTTTCTATTTTTTTGAACCACATGACCATTTATTGTAGTGTATTTTGTATGATCATGAAAATTGGTGTTAGTAGTGATGGATATTGTTGTTTGATTGCTCAGTGATAAGTTCTATGTGTTATAAAGTGTTCTGCTCCACTCACATACTATAGGTTCTTCCTCTTACAGAATAGCTTCATCCTCTATACTAAGATTAAATCACGATCATTGGTTTGTAATAAACTAATGAGTACTCTTGTATTTAATACTCTGCAATGAGATGTATTGGGTAGATGAGAAAATACTCAATAGTGTTCCTTCGTGAATTAGTTCACTCTTATTTTCTATGCTGTAGTTTATTTATCTATGCATGTATCATAGATCATTATTATGGTATCAGAGATCTGCAACTCTATTGGCCCCTTCTTTTAGCTACTTCATGTTTGATTTTGTTTATTTGCAATGGATCAATCTGTTGATTCCATTTCTTCCCGATCTTCTTCACATTTACTAACTGGTATTGTTATACCTCCTCAACTCAAGTTCTTGATGCCCAATGTTAAATCTATGATCAGTGTATAGTTAATCACCGACAATCACCCTATTTGGTGATCACAAATCCTCAAACTATTTTCTGCAAATGATTTTGAAGGGTTTTTAGATGGCACTGCTCTAAACCACTCAAACAACTTATTCTTCCAAATGACACAATAAGTAGCAATCCCCAATTTCACACTTAGATGCTCATCGGCCAAAACCTAGCTGTTGCTTTGTATTCCACCATTTCAACATCTCTGCTTCTCTATGTCCTTAACATTGACACATGTCATGCTATCTGGACAACCATTGAATAGAGATTACAATCCATAAATCATTCTCACATTCTACAACTGAAAGAACAAGTTACATCATGTAAAACTCAAAGATAATATCATGGTTCAATATATTTTTGAAATTAAACTAAAGGTTGATGCCATTACTGTCGCTTGCTTTACGATTGATGCAGAAGACATTATCCTTTTATACTCTTAATGGTCTACCTCCATCCTACAATGCATTCAAGATAGGTATTCCAACCAAATTGTAACCTATAAGCCTCGACAACCTATATTCCTTGCTCTGTAGTGATGAATTGAACATTACTTTTGATACCTCTCCAAACCAGTCTTCACATAGCATTTGCTCTTGCCACCTTTTGTGAAAGATCGTGTGGTCTTGCGCCTTTTCTCACGTTTGGTCAAGGGCGATATGCTCTTTTTGTTCGTGGTGGACGAGCATCTCCTGCTCAAGGTGGTCAACTATTGTTTTCTTCAATTATTTGTCAAATTTGTGGTAAAATTGGTCATTTTACCTTTAAATGCTGGTATTGGACTGACCTCTCCTATCAGCCATCTCCACAATCTTCCCCACAAGTGTATTTAGCTCATGAAGTGGCTCCCAATGCTGCTTGGTTCTTGGACTCAGGTGCCTCCAATCATCTAACTACTGATACTTCACATGCTCAATCTTTATAGCCTTATTATGGTGCATCGCAAGTGCTGTTAGTGGTCATACATTTCCTATCGCTTATTATGGTTACATCATCCTTCCTACTCCTCATATACTTCGTTTACCCCATATTTTTCACGTCCCTCGTCTCACTCATAATGTGTTGTCTATAAATCTTCTCGTTACTGACAATATGTGTTCTTTCATGTTTAACACTTGCGGCTTCACCATTAAGCACTCGCGGACTAACAAGCTTCTTCTTTAGGGTCCCAGTCTTCATGGCCTCTACCCTATTACGTCTGCCACATCTCCGTCCTTTACGTCTTCCATCACCTCTCCTACATCTCTCATCATTTCTACCTTGCCTCACCATGTCTGACATCAACGACTAGGTCATCCCTCCTCTGCAATTCATCAGCTACTCTCCACTCAACTACCTTCCAGCAAGCTATCGTCTACGTAACATTGTTTTGCATGTGCTCATGCAAAAAGTTTTCGTTTATCTTTCTCTTTATCTATGTCTACTACCTCTAAATGTCTTAAACTTATTCATAGTGATGTATGGGGTCCATCCCCAGTGTTATCCCACCGAAGGTATAAATACTATTTACTTTTTGTTGATGATTCTACTCATTTTTGTTGGGCTTATCCCTTAAAATGTAAATATGAAATTTTATCTAAGTTTCTTCAATTTAAATTGTTTGTTGAACATCACTTTTAGCAACCTATTAAAAGTTTGCAAACCGATGGTACATAACTTTCATAGTGAATATATTAATCATAACTTTCAACATACTCTAGCTCAATTTGGCATTGCTCATGGCAATAGCTGTTCCTATACACCTGAGAAAAAGGACTTGTTGAATGCAAGCATCGACATCTTCTTAAAATCAGGCGTGCCCTATTTTTTCATGCTGACTTACCACCTATTTTCTGGGTTGATACTCTTCTCACATTAGTGTATCTCATTAATCGCCTTTCCTCCAAAACTACATATAATATGTCCCCATAGCAATGCTTATATCAGCAACCTCCCACATATATTCATCTTAAGGTGTTTGGGTATCTCAGTTACCCATGGTTTCCCTCTACCATGTGATCCAAACTTGATCCCTACTCTGCCCCCTGTGTCTTTCTTGGTTGTGCAGCAAATTACGAAGGATATAAATTCTTTGATTTTATCACTTGAGGCATTCACATCTCCAGGCATATTCAATTCCATGAAGATGTGTTTCCCTATAAAAGCCTTGCCACTTCCCCTACAACTTCTTCCCCTTCAACATATGTTCCACCCCGCCTACTTTTGCCCTACATACATGCTTCTAGAAATAGTTTTCCTTCTATATCTTCAGGTGATGTCTCTCTTCCCTCAACTTCTCCTATGCCCACGCCTGCTTACTCTCCCACTATGCCTGCACCTATACCTCCCTTTCCATTTTCAACTATAAATCACTCCACTTCATCCATACAAGTCCATGCTTCTAATACACCTTCGAAATCATCACCTCCTCCAACTCAATCTCATCATCCTATGCGCACCAGATTTCAAACAGGGCACTTGAAACTGAAACATATCCTTGACCTACATCATCAACTTGTACCTAGTACACCTACATGTTTCTCTCAAACAAATAAACATGTTGTCTAGCACATGGTCTCTTATTCCACTCTCTTATGATCAAAATGTGCTTGTGTGTAAATGGTTATACAAGACCAAGTATAATTTTGATGGTTCTATATCCCGCTACAAAGCCCGATTGGTTGCAAAAGGTCACGAACATGAATTTGGTATGGATTATTATGACACGTTTTATCCTTTTGTAAAATTTCCTACCATTCACATCCTTTTTATAGTGGTTGTTACCTTCAAATGGCAAATTATGCAATTAGACATTTCTAATGCTTTTCTTCATGGTCCATTGGATGATGTTGTGTACATGCAGCAATCACCTAGGTTTTACAATTTGCAATTTCCAACACATGTGTGCCGTCTTTACGAAGCTCTCTATGGGCTTAAGCAAGCTCCTCATAAATAGTTATCCATCCTTTCCTCTCATCTACTACAATATGGGTTTATCACAAGCATGACGGATTCCTCATTTTTAGTATACCATCATGGCTCTATCAAGTTATATATGCTCGTGTATGCTGACAAAATCTTGCTCATTGGAAACAACACAACAGACATCAACAAGCTTCTGCAAAATCTTCAAACTAGACCTCATGCGCAATCTTGGTTCAATAAACTGCTTTCTAAGCATTCAAGTTATTTTCTTTCAACAGATATCCATTTAGATTAATCTCAATATCTTACTGAACTACTGGACAAAGCTGGCCTGAGTAGTTATAAACTGGTGCAAATCCCTTCCCCTCTGAAGATGTCTAAATCTACCACAAACTCCCATAATTTTCCCAACCAAAAAATTACTGGCAACTTGTCAGCTCTGTCAAATATCTTTCCATGACCCGCCCGGACATTGTGTTTGCTGTGAATTATCTTTATCAACATATGCATCAACCGCTCCTCGTGCATTTCCAACATCTCAAATAGCTTTTATGTTATTTATGTGGTACCACTTCTTATTGACTTCCCATCATCGGTGATACACTTACTTTGCAGGTATACTCTGACTATGTTTGTGCTGCTAACAAAACAAACCAACTCTCCATTACTGTCTTCTGCACTTATCTTGGGCAAACCTTGATTTGAAGGTCAAGGTGTGTTAAGAAGCAATCTTATGTTGCTCGCTCCTCCACTGAAATTGAATATAGAGTTGTAGATGTTGCTGCCCCTATTATATTATGTGGTTAAGACACTTACTTACTGATTTTTATATTCTGGTCACACAATCTACTCCATTATTTTGTGATGATGTCTCGACACTTGATTTAGCTAATAATCCAATGTTTCATGCACGAACAAAGCATATCAAGGTTGACTATCACTTTATTAGGGACTGTATTAAATCTAACCACATCTCAGTTCATCATATTTCTTCTCAAGATCAACCTACTGACATCTTCACCCAGCCTTTCACTTCTA